CTGGGGGAACCACTGTGCCTCCATTCCTTAGACTGTTCCTTTGTCTCAGGATCGTAACAGTAGATCCATGTCTCATCACCAATTACCAGTTTGCCCAGGAAATCTGACTCATTTCTTGCCAAATGTTCCAAAACAGGCACTGATTACTCCACATGTTTCCTCTTTTGTTCAGTTGTCAAAAGTTTGGGGATCCACTTTGCTGCCAGCTTTCTCATTTCCAAGTTGTTGTGGATAATGGCACCAACTCTCTTACGTGATATTCTCAGATATATAGCAATACTTTGGGCTGATATTCGGCGGTCCTCCGTGATCATGTCATGGATGGCATTCAGATTTGCAGGCACAGAGACAGAAACAGGCCTTCCATTGGGTTTCTCACTTTCAACACCGAAATGGGCAGTTAAAAAAATTGACAACCCAGTGTTCAACTGTTGCATATGAAGGGCCACTGTCACCCATAGTTTGTGACATTTCATCATGGATCTGCTTTACACCTTTCCCTTGGAGAAACAGGAACTTGATTATGGTCCTATGTTCTTCCACACTGAACTTTTCAGGAGGTGCTGCCATGTTCACTTTGGACCGGAAAATGAAAGTTAAAATCATAGGTAGTTGATTTTTGCACCGTTGAATATAGACAAATTGGCCAATATACCCTGCAAATTATAGCTTTCTAGTTCAATGTTTTCTGGGTAAGGTTCAATACTTATCAGCACCCCCTCATCAAATCCAACACCATTATTGAGAGCCACGCATTCTCCATCCCTTAAATTACTGAGAAAGATCATCCATTGATAGGGGTATAATCAGTTTACTGATATGCCCAACTTTGTATTTTCTTATACTTTATTTTAGGCTGGGGAAGTTCTGAATCAGTGTTTGGAAACAATGATAATAAAATAAGTAAATAAAATGAAGATTGTTCTGGACAAACAGTGGGTCTAGTGGTTGTGAAGCCTGTTTGTTCTGGGCCTTCATCCTGTTCTGGATGAAGCTGCACTCCTCTTACAACATCAAGTTCATAGTCTGGGAATATTTTTTGGGCTTGTTATTAGATGCTCTGATTATGGGCGAGTTTAGGAGAGATTTTGCATTCTTTCACCTTATATGCCAGCTGCATGCATTTCTCCTACATCAGACTTGGCCATGGTCCTACATGAACTGTACTATGCAATAACATGAAGCCATACGGGACTGTCCTTGAAAACTACTCAGAACCTCATTTGTTATTGCTAAATCCTGGAATGCAGTTCATCCAACCTTTTCACTGCAACCACTACACTTGTCATCTATTTAGTTAAATCAAATTCAGCTTTCTGGTTATTATCTTAAAAGGCAAATACAACTTGTTAACAATCTACCTTCATCTCTAACTATCAATTGTTAGGTCCGTTCTTTGTGTTCCTCTTCAATGTGGCCATTATCCTGATACCTTTTTCAGTAATAATAGATTGTTGTTATTTGTGTGCCTATTTATATCTTGTAAACCACTTTGAGCATCTCCCTCTTGGGAGAAAAATATTTTTTGTATAAACAAACAAACAAAATGGAGAGACTAGACAATGTTCACATTACACGTAAATGAGCAATCACTTATGTTTATGGATGATCAACATCCAGTTCAGAAAGACTGCACATAAGCAGAAATAATTTAAATAAATACCATATGATTGAATACATTACAACATGGTTACATTAAAGAATTCTTTTAACTAAGTGGAAAAACACTAATTTTAGCTTCAACACTTGAGAATCTGGAAGTAATCAATACTTAGTATCTCTATGTTACACAGAGTTCTCCACAAAATGTCCCACTTCATTAACTATTTGTTATAGCAAAGCAGAATGCACACAAATGTACTTGGCTCTTTCAGGTATAACTGGAAAGTACAGTGTGTGCTTCAACTATTCAGCATACTCCCAACTGCTGGGAAAGAAAAAAAAATCAGTGCAGGAAAAAAATCCCTGAATGTCAGACTTGGCCAGGAGCAAAGCCAAAAGCAACCAAGTTTACTCTGCTCCAAAGATTAAAAAACTGTGACAAAAGTAGTGACCAAGTTGTTCTCCACCTCAAAGACACGCATTTATGAAATAATCATTTGGTTTGGTTTACAGATGAAGGGGGGCAGGGGAGACTTTCAGCTCTTCAGATGTTAATGAACTACGGCTAATTGGGCTCTGCATGGCTAAAGCTTATGGCCACACTGATGTCCAACTATCTCCAAACTTCCTTTCAAGACTTGAGAGGAGACAGAGACAGCAGCTCAAACAACCCTTGCCTATTTCTGCAGCTTCAGATTTGGGAGAAAGATCTGCTGCTCATCAGTGAATGGTGACATACACCTCTCTGGTGGTGAGATTTATAGATGCCTGCAAATCTACTAGTGCATGCTAATAAGAAAGTTATATAAAATAGATTCTTAAGGCGAGAAAAAGGTAGAATGTTTTTAAATGTGGAAAAAAATAAACAGTACAAATATTCATGCCTACCAGGCCAGGTTATATGTTAAAAAAACAAGGACGACTCTGAATTATGAATCTCACAAGCTAACAAAATCATGTAGGTTAGAGTTAGCTACAGTCATGCCCACAAATATTGGCACCCTTGCAATTCTGTCAGAAAATGAAACACTTCTCTCAGAAAATTGTTGCAGTTGCAAATGTTTTGGTATTCACATGTTCATTTCTTTGGTTTGCATTGGAACAACACAAAAAAATAAAGAAAAGTCAAATCTGATACAATCCCACACAGAAACCCAAAAATGCACTGGCTAAAATTATTGGCACCATGTCTAAATTGTAAGAAGTAATTGCTTTTCAAGCATGTAATACTCCTGTAATTTGTATTTAGACACACCTGTCGCAAGTAAGAGGTGTGGGCAATATAATAATCACACTTGCAACCAGTTAAGATGGAGAAAAGTTGACTCAACCTTTGTGTTGTGTGTGACACTGAGCATGGAGAAAAGAATGAAGTGTAAAGAGTTGTCTGTGGATTTGAGAGAGAAAAATGTGGAAAAATATTGACAATCTCAAGGCTACAAGTCCATCTCCAGAGATCTTAATGTTCCTGTGTCCACTGTGTGCAATATCATCAAGAGGTTTACAGCCCATGGCACTGTAGCTAACCTCCCTGGACGTGGGCGGAAAAGCAAAATTACTGAAAAATTACAACGAAGGGTTGTTTGAATGGTGGATACAGAACCCAGATTAACTTCCAAACAAATTCAAGCTCATCTGCAGACACAGGGTACAACAGTGTCAGCTCGCACTATCTGTCACCATCTGAATGAAAAGGAACACTATGGTAGGAGACCCAGGAGGACCCCACTGCTGATACAAAGGCATAAAAAAGCAAGACTCGAGTATGCCAAAACATATGTGACAAAACGACAATCCTTCTGGGAGAATGTACCGTGGACAGATGAGACAAAAGTAGAGCTTTTTGGTCAAGGACATCATGGCACTGTTTACAGAAAAAGAAATGAGGCTTTCAAAGAAAAGAACACAGTCCCTACAGTCAAACATGGTGGAGGGTCAAATGTGTTTTGGGGTTGCTTTGCTGCTTCTGGCACTGGATGCCTTGACTGTGTGAAGGGTATCATGAAATCTGATGATTACCAGGATGCAATGTAGTAGCCAGTGTCAGAAAACTCCACCAGAGGTCATGGGTCTTCCAGCAGGACAATTTATTTATTTATTTATTTATTTGATTTCTATCCCGCCTATCTAATCAATTAAGATTACTCAATGACTCGAAACACACTTCAAAAAGCACTCAGAAATTGTTACAAACAAAGCGCTGGAGAGTTCTGAAACGGCCAGCAATGAGTCCTGATCTGAATCCCATCCAAAATCTGTGGAGAGATCTCAAAACAGCAGTTGGGAGAAGGCATCCTTCAAACCTGAAGGCCCTGGAGCAGTTTGCAAAAGAAGAGTGGTCCCAAATTCCAGTAGAGAGGTGTAAGAAACTTATTCATGGTTACAGGAAGCAACTGATTTCAGTTTTTTTTCCAAAGGGGGTTCTACCAAATGTTAAGGGTGCCAATAACTTGGGCCAGTGCATTTTTGGGTTTCTGTGTGGAACTGTATCACATTTTACTTTTCTTCTCTGTTTTTTTTTGGTGTGTTGTTCCTATGCAAATCAAAGAAATAAATATGTGAATACCAAAACATCTGCAACTACAACAATTTTCTGAGAGAAGGGTTTCATTTTCTGACAGAATTGCAAGGGTGCCAATATTGGCCAGACTGTATGCCTTGTGAGGTCAAGGTTTTCATGGAGGCAGTGTTCACTAGAATGTTATCCTTCCCATTAGCAAATGTAATTATGGCAGTAATTGGGAAAAAGGAGAAACGTAAACTTTGAGCTCAAAATGAAAGATCTTTGATTCAGTCTTTCCCTCCAGTGTCTTCAAAAACTGACATTGAGGGAGGCCGATAGCTTCTAAGAAATATGTGGCTCCAGATTATTGCAACAGAAACAGAACAATTTATTCAGCAGCTACTACAAACTGTAGATACAATCATATACAAGTCCCACTTCTCTGGAATTGCAAACTCGTACCTGAATCAAGAAGTTTCCTCATACGCAGATAGCTTATTGTTAATCTCATAATGGAGGCTTTGTCAAGATGTGCGCTCACATGATGGGGAAGAGGCAACTGGTGAGCAAGTTCATAGAAGACCTCAGACTCTTTACTCCTACGGCATCTGGCTGCATCTCTTGACTTTTCTTTCCTGCGCTCCGAACTAATCCTGTAAAAGTAAAGTTACATATTGGAGTTAAGACCCATATACAGTGGTGCCTCGCTTAGCGATTGCCTCGTTTAACTCGCTTGCCACCACCCGCGCCGCTGAGCCACCCGCACGCTCGCTCACCACCCACCCGTTTCCCCTCTTCCTCCTCCTCCTGTTGGAGGGGTCGTCTTATACGGCCAGTCGCCTTCTGCGCTGGCAAATACGGTACATTACCTATCACAAACCACCATGCTCCTTCTGAATGGTAATCAGGGTGATAGTGGTGGTGGAATCTTTCCAGTGACTATGTGATCCTAGGATCTGAGACTCCACACGTTTTTAGCCTGTGCCACTTTTACTATGGCAGAGACATCACTGATCTTCAAACAACTTAATACAAAACCAAATGCAAGCATTCCACTTAAGAACATTGCAAACCTCAGTATTAGGGACTGTGAAAGACTGGCTAGCATCTCCACCAGTAAGAGACCACAGAGCTGACAGGAATTAGCTCTTTTCCAGAAATATAAGCCTTCTCTGTTGAGCGCATTTTGAAAGGTAGGAAGGTCTGATCAACTTTCATCAACAGCATTCTGCAGGAGTCTTTGTTCCCCTAAACTGTATGTGTTGTACCAGACACACTTCCTCTTTAGACTTGCCTACTTTATATTTTCAGTGATGCAACAACAGCTGTCTCTTAAGCTCATTTACTTGAAAGGAAGCAGCAAGCTTTAGGTATTGTCTGTAAGTTTTGTTCCTTTTATGGGTGAGAAGTTAAAACATATTCTGTCCCACGCCCCCTTAGGAAGAGGGCTATGTTCAATGAAAGCATGGAGGAAGGAAAGCAGCAGAGAAGACTGACAGTGAATTAAGCTGAAAATAACATTATTTTTTAAAGTTTTTTTCTCATATGTTATGGCCTCTCACTGCTACCTCATCTGTTGATGCCTCTTTCTGCATTGTTCTTAGCTTTAAATATTATAATTTATTTATGTTAACCACCACTGTACATTCATTGTATTCAACTTCAAATATTGTCTCTGCAAGCCTTGGGTTCTTTTCAAGGAGAAAGGCAAGTTAAAAAATATTTTAAATATTGTCTCTGCAAGCCTTGGGTTCTTTTCCAAGGAGAAAGGCAGGTTAAAAAAATTTTAAATACTGTAAATTGATATACCCGCCATAGAAAGAGCCTACAACAGTTAACAGGAAACAGACTCTTCCTGGAAAGATTATCTCCATTTTCAGTTCCTGCTGAGACAAATACACACTCCTTGAAAGCTGCAATTCCACAGTGCTGTAGGATCCTCTGCCCCCAAATGACCAGATGCAACCACCTACAAGTTGCATTCTCTTGTGTGCCACATTCTCTTGTGTACCTGGCCTACTTTTATCTTATAGCTTCGGAAGGTCTTTCTGGTGTTTAGGCAAGAAAAGAGAAGGAAGTACAGGCTGTTTGTACCAATACCTGCAGCAACTCATTAAAATATTTTAAACTGTTCCAAATTCAGTGCTTCTGAAATAGGATTTAGCTATCCTCCCAAAAGCTCACTGGCATTTCAGTCCACCTTGAGAGGGAATTCCACAATGGGCTGCCACAAAAGGCACCCTCTTCATTGTGGTCACTGGAAATGTCTCTTAAGATCACAGCACACAAAACTGGTCCATGAGAAGGACAAAATGCAGTGGTGCCCCGCTTAACGATTACCCCGCTCCACGACAAATCTGCTTAACAATGAGGTTTTTGCAAGCTCTTTTGTGATCGCAAAACGATGGTTAAATGGGGAAAATCCACTTGACGATCAGTTCCCTGCTTCAGGAACTGGTTTAAAACAGCTGATCTAAAAACAGCTGATCGGGTGGCTCTCAAAATGGCTCCTCGCTGTGTTAAGGACGGATTCCTCGCTATACAGGCACCAGAAAATGGCCGCCCTATGGAGGATCTTCGCTGGACGGTGAGGTATTTCGCCCATTGGAACACACTGAACAGTTTTCAATGCATTTCAATGGGCTTTTTACTTTTGCTTGTCAACGATTTCGTTCTACAGCGATTTTGCTGGAACGGATTATCATCATCAAGCGAGGCACCACTGTAGTGTTATGACAGCTACAGAGGTAGAAGACATGCTCTGCCCTCTTCTTTGATAGCCCTTCTGCAGTGGTGGGGAGGAAAGCACCAGCAGCACTAGAGCAGAAGCTCTAGAAGGTGAAATAATTCAAAAAAAGAGATGCCTAAGCAAGCACTATCATCATTTGCAAGGATAATCTAACCTATTTAAAAAGTTAAGCTATGTTTTTTCCCCAGTTTCTGTTTTTAAAACGTCATTTCACATCTATTTAAGTCTTCCACGTAAGGCAAATTCTGCACCATACCTTTTGAATAGGAACATCTATGAAGATTGCCTAACATGGTTCCTGTGAATCCTCATTCAAAGATCTCTCTGTAAGAAAGCAATGCTAAATATATTTCTTCTATGCCACGTCATTATGCTTTAAGCACTCTCTGGGCAGTTTGCAATTTTTAATTATACAGGCTACACAATGCACACACCCCAGCAAGGTCAATTTTTAATTATACAGGCTATACATTGCACACACACCAGCAAGGTTGAAAGGCTGAGTCAACTTCAAGCCAGCTACCTGAGCCCAAGATTGAACTCAGGTCATAAGCTGACTCTTCAATGCAGTACTGCAGTCACGAGTCTTCAATGCAGTACTGCAGTTTAATCATTGCACTATGTATGAGAAAGGGGACCCATCTTGAATCTCTACTTGTCCCCTTCTACTACATAAATTCGTATTTTATGCTTCGCTTCTTTTACAAGAAATAAAAATATAAGAAGTCTCATTAAGACATAATTACAATGTTGTCGAAGTCATATGGAACACTTTTACATAACCACATCAGGTCGAAACACCCCTCATCCTGAGACCTCATTTCAGTGGAATTTCTCTTGGAAACTTGGGTCAATAAACTTGATTACTGAAGGGAATACAAAACTCCTGAAATCCCTAAACTGCTGTTGCTCAAGCCAGAGATAATCCCCACTGACTCTAACAGGGCTTATGCAGAAGCAGGTACTGAATACCACCATAAGTGAGATCTGGAAAAGTCCTGCCTTCTTGTAATGGACTGTTGTTCACATGGAATGAGGCAAGGAGAATTCTGAGCTTGGTTCTGAAAAACCACTTGGTCAACAAACTACTATATTCTGATAATTAAATTCTGAAGTTTTTTAGTTTGTTTTCTTTAACTGAAGGGGGTAAAGTCCTCCACATAACGTATTAAGAGGGAGGGAGGGAGGGAGGGAGGAAGGAAGGAAGGAAGGAAGGGGAAAAGGAAAGGGAAGAAAAGAAGAGGCTTTCTCACAGTAAGAAAAGAAAAGAAAAGAAATGAAATGAAGAGGCTTTCTCACAGAACCTTTCAGCTAATCTGGAAAACCTTCATTTCATTTGCACCATTTGGGAGGGGGGAACTTCACCCACACTCCTTTCTTTGTGCATCCTCTCTTTTTTACTTGACTCTTTAAACCCCTTGTTTGACAGATTCCCCAGACACGTCAGTTTTGAGTGAGAGGTTAAATTGTCAAAAAACCTCTAAGGAAAAGGTAGCAGTAGGAGGTGTTCAACAATTTCCTGTCATTACTTTCAGTAAAACAGAAACTATACATACACCACTTGCGGTGGGGGTAGGAGGGAAAGGATCAAACACAAAAAGCTAACATGGGAGCTCAAAACACACACACACACACACATGCGCGCCCCATCAGTCTGAATACTGCTGTAGAAAAATCCAATTTTAGAACCTATCTTTCCCAAGAACAATGAGCAGCAATAATCACCAATAGCTGAGTATCCTTACTATGTAGAATGAACTGAAGTTCAGAGTGTAAGGTTGACAGATAATCTGCAAAGTCACTAAAGATGCAGGCTCATGCACACTCCTTGCGTACCAGTGGAGTCTCCCTACTCTTAGATTATGTTCTGGATCCTAAAGCCAACTCTTAAATAGGATTCTTTTTGTTCTATTAATGTTCCATTCCGGCAAACAAAGGCACTTCCTAGATAGAAGAAAGGAGAACTTTGGGTTTTTCCTAGTAATGGGCTTCAAAATACAGCCATTGGACGATGAGACTCCCAGGTCAGAAAGCACACAAATCAGCTAGTGGGAAAGACCAAGGACAACTATGAATAGGGTTGTTGCTAATGGTGCAACTAGATTAAAGCAAAAAGGATGTCCAGAGGCTAATATGCACAGAAGTGAGAAAAGTCTGGTGGTGCACAACACATACAAATTGTAATGTGGAATAAGAGAAGTATAAATTTAAATCAAGGTAATCTGGAAATCATAAAGCTATTGAAAGCTTTTATGTGATCATCCAAATTGATCACATACCAAAACAAGACATGCTCATTATCATAGGTGACTGGAATGCAAAAGTAGAAAACAAAGCAGAACCAAATCTTGCTGGAAAATTTGGCTTAGGGGACAGAGATGAAGCAAGAGAAAAGTTCTGCAAAGCCAACAATCTGCTTCTTCCAAATGCATGCCTTATGCAACAGATTGTACACATGAACATCACTAGATGGTCAATAGAGAAATCAAATACAGTACACTATGTAATTGGAAGAAGGAGATGGAGAAGCTGTATTCACTCTGCCCAAATGAGGCTAGAAGCGGATTGTGGTACCGATCATGAACTATTAATATCCAACATTAGCATAAAGCTGGAAAAGAACACTAAAAGAATGTAGTGCCAAAATGCAACAACATTCCTTACGAATTTAAAGTTCACATAAGGAACATATTTGAATTACTAAACTCAATTGACCACTGAGCATGAACCAGAAGTGTGGATTGAAACCAGAGATCTTATTAGGGAAGAATGCTCTCCCCCCCCCCAAAAAAAAAACTAAACTCAATTGACCACTGAGCATGAACCAGAAGTGTGGATTGAAACCAGAGATCTTATTAGAGAAGAATGCTCCCCCCCCCAAAAAAAAACCCTGTAGTAAAAAGA